AGTAAGTCTGTTCGATATAAAGCTACGAGTTGCGCTGCAACTATTATGGATAGGCGTGTCGCTTACCACTAGGTGCGCGACTTTTTATCCCGTCAATGTATATTATGAAAAAAAAAATTAAAAAGGTTGGCAATATGAGGGAACTAAATAATTCACAACTGTTTACAATTTAAAAGGTATCATCTACTTGCATATTTTTCCAATATGGAGAGTCTTCTCTATGCTATGGAGTTCTAACGTGTCTGAAGTCTATAGATGTACCATCAATTATATATAAAACACATTTCATAGATAGTTGAGTTTTATTGTTTCAATAATACAATTAAAACCAATAAATAAATACACCGTTTCAATGGTATGCTATGCTAATTACTTAGTTCTTATCTTAAGGCTGCACTGTAACTCTTGTTTGTCTTTTGGGTGTATTAACCATGTCCCTATTTACAAATTAGTAGTTGCTTAAAGTATTTAAACTTGAAGCAACTGTGCAGATAAGAAATTGTAGATTTATGAAGCATTATTTTAAACAATTCCAATTCTGATAAAAGAGGAAAGTTGGAGCAAAAACAGATAAGTCACATTATTACTCTATGTTAACGTCAAACATTAGTTTTTATACATTCTTATGAACAGCAACCACTAAATCCTCATTAAAAATATGTTTGAAGCACGGATTTGACTACAATGCGACAAATCGATTCAATGAGACTAGACGAATTAGAATCAAAACTTATCGGTTTTTGTTCTGAAACTCCTCAAATTAGTTACATAGACATGGTTTAGAGGACGGTGCACGAGCTCTTTTCTCGGAAGGGGTTAACTTTCTGACTGGAAAAGCCGACGAGGAGGCAGTCTTCCTGCTCATGTTCGTTGATATACTTCACAATGTCTGCCACAGCCGCGGATACAGGAATTCGCTTTATGGCAGCCTCTCTTCTCAACTGTTCTGTAACAGCACGCTGCTGTTGCAGAGTTGATACCATCATATCCATAACGGCGGTATCGGAGAGGCCTATGTTGGAAACTAAATCAAACCAACTCCACAAGTAGAAATAGGGCGTAGCCTTGCACCTTGACAGGTACCTGAAAACGGAAGATAAGTAATTAAAGTTTGTTTTACTCATGACTTATGTTAAGAAGATTTGTGATAGCTTACGTGTAATTAAATAGCGCTTAGAAATTGAGATTCTAGGCGTAAACGCAATAGAACTTTGCAATTTTCTAACAAGTAGGTACACAACATACGATTACAAGCCAAAGATAATATAAACGAAACTCACAGACTACTTTTTGTTTTTCTCAAAATAAAATCGAAAGTGACATTTAATTAATGTTGCCAATATTATTTGCCACATACATTGGTAGGAAAATCTATGGCATATAATTTTTTTTTGAATAATTGGTACGGTAGAATGAGTCACTACACTACCGCCAATTTCATGTAATAATTTTCTGATCGCCCAAATAAAAAAACCTAAAAGTAAATCCGTCAAGTAGGAATGGATAATATAGCATTTTCTGAATATCGTATTGAAACTATATTATATCAATATTCGAAATCGGATGTCGAAACTATATATTTTCTTAAACTATACTGTTCATGGATACAGCCTGCGTGCGCGCTGCGTTGAAACATTGCCGTTACAGATATGCGGAATCAGACTTCAAAAGTATATATTATCGGGTATAGTTTTACAAGAGTAATGCGGGCCAATGTTAGTATACAGTTTCGAAGACGCACAAAAAATGATTTCGCGTTGATATCCACTCAGTGAATATATGGAGACAATCTGATACGAAACAATATAGTTTGGAAAATATATGATTTCTTTTTGGTATCCACTCGGTAAAGCTCGGCTTGATTCGGCATCGCTATAAAATACGCGATGCGGAGTAATATCGATATGTACAGATATACGATATCGGATTTTTAAACTGTATATTGCCACAATATACAGTTTCAATAACTATATACGATTTGTAACGCCCATCCCATTCATTTGATCCTCTTTGGCCCATTCCTACCGTTAAGTCAAACCACGCCCCGTTAAGCCGCTAAGAAAAAGTTAAAGCGTAGTGATGACAGTGCACGTTAGCATACTGACGTTTCCCTCCCGCCCTCTCTGCAATCTTCACCCCGCGCGCTTCTTACAGTCAGACCCCATTTTGCGCGGGCGCCATATTGCTTGTTTTGTGTCGAAGAGAAGCGTTTGCGTCGATTGATTTCCGCCCTTTAAATTCACAAATACAGTATTATTGTATGTGTGTTTGTGTTGATTAATTTCCGCCTCTTCTAATCTACAAATACAGCTTCGCCGGCGTTTTCGTAATGTATCGAAAGTGTTGTGTACCCGAATGCAATAGTTTACGACAGGACGTTAAATTGCATCATATTCCCAAGAACACGGAAAGGAAAATACAGTGGTTAAAGTGTATACGTAGTGAAAATTCTATGGGTGAAACCAAAAACATGCTTGTTTTGCCATAAACATTTCGAGCAAAGGTTTCACACAGCGTCAAATCGTCTGAAGATTGGAGCTTACCCTACTTTATTTTCGGATCTGGAGATATCCTCGGGAAGACCATCAATTGCCTCCAGAGAAAGAGGTAACATTTACTTCTAGTACCTAAATACTGAACATTTCTTTCGATTGGTAGTCTATACGTATATGTAAAATTTTATTAAATAAGTATAAAGCAAACTATGTACAGTCAACAGCACATCAAACTACACATTTTAGTTCGAATATCGCCACCAGTGCTATGGAACAAGATTCATCAGTGTGTAGCTTGATGTGCTGTTGACTGTACATCACACTGACTGGCAGTTATGTATAGAGAAATTTGATTTGCTAGACTTATTGAAGGTGTCTGTTTCTGTAATGTGTTAATGACCTATTATCTATTATTTTTTTAGATATATTCAGTGACCAGAGTTACTCAAGGAAGCGACACATTGATCACTCGTATACACTACCTTATGAGCAAAGACTTAATAAAGGTGCACGAACTGAGGTTTCTGGCATGTGTATCATCCTTTTCTATGTTTTATGTGATCGCAAAAGAAGAAGCATATTAATATGAATTATTTCATTGCAGATACATACTTTATGTCTTGCCTACAATACCAGGTCAACTTGTGCCCGTTGCATCATCAAGTTCCGCACTGCACTATGCATCAGGTAATATTTGAAGTTGAATAAATAATTATTGTTTATGAAAGCACGACAATGCTTACATATTATGTTTGTTAACAGGAATACTAGTTTTACTTCTTTTATTATATTTTATAAAACATGTACTGTATCTTTTTAGCCTCAGTATGTAAAACACCACGAAAAGTAGTCAAAAGAAGGCTTATTAAGAATGTAAAGGCCTTAACACCAAGGTGCAAACTTTTATACAATGAATATAAAAAAGTTAGAAACCAAAAACACTACAACACACGAGTGAAAGGGGCACTGGCCTTCAGTAAAAGTGAGTGTTTAGAAGTTCTAAATAAGATGAACCCATTGTCGAGAAAGGTTCTGTCAATGCAAATGAAACTTTGCATTAATAAAAAGATGGCCAGAAGGTTTACAACCGAAGAGAAACTTATTGCTCTTTCAATTTACAAGCAAGGTCTAAAATGTTACAAGTTTCTCCAAAAGATATTCATTTTGCCTTCAAAATCAACTTTGAAGAACTTGATAAGCCAACTAAATATTGGTGCTGGCATAAATCCACAAATATTTGACCTTATAAAAAATCAGGTAAATATTTAATAATTACTTAAGCAATTGTTGTAAATATTGGTAGTATGTAATAAAATTATGAAAAACTTATATTTTACTATAAAATTACAGGTAAAAAGCTGGGACAGCAAAAAAAGATTGTGTACAGTGCTATTTGATGAAATGTCACTAGAAACTGCTCTAACATATTCAAATTACAAGGACGACATTGTTGGATTTGTTGATTTAAATGGAAAAACCAACAGCTTTACAGACCACGTTCTTGTTTTCATGTTACGAGGCGCTGTCTGTAAATGGCAGCAACCTGTAGCATTGTGTGTACATTGAATAAATTTAAGAAAAAAATTAAAAAAAAAAAATTCAATAAATAACATTAAAAAGAATTTCTAAAACTTGTTTTATTTATTATAAATTCGAACAGTTTTAATGTCTATAGTACAATACAGGTAGCTGGTATGTACCCTGGTGGTACTTGCTGCGGCCGAATAAACGTTACCGTTGCCTACAAATTAAAAAAAAGTCTATTCCGATGCCGTAATACTATAGATACAGAATATCCACCTACGGGTTATACCAATATTAAAAAAAATAATGTCATGTTCTTAACGTGCACTACGTCTTAAAGACAATATATGGATGGCACTTGGCGGTCTGTTACGTAGTAACTCTTATTAGTTTGTGAGTCAAACCAAGTTGATGAAGTGAAGGTTTTGGTCACAATATTATTTCAATTTTTAAAGTTTTCTCTATAATAAATGATAAATAAATTACTTGCATTATAAATAGATCTGTTAAAGTGTTAATAATATATTGCAGAAGGCACTGTTTCTGTAAACAATGGACGGCGGTGACAGTGGCGATTTGAATGCGAAATCATATTCGGGCATTCCTGAGGCCGAATTTGTTGTAAGTACTAAATACCATTCAATGGACTCTTGAAAAAATATGTTATTACATATTTTCAGAGTCTCGTATAAAACCATCCAATGACTTACTCTAATTATATTAGGTTATGTGTTAGGTTACACACCTGGGGTATCTTGCGCTTATAATTTCCATTCATAAAACATATCAAGCGATTTCTCGATTTTACAAAGCGTAGGCGCCGTTAAAGATCCTTGAAATTTGTGAGGAAATATTACATTCCTGTCATAAACGGCAATTTTTAAATAATATTTCATACGTTTGGATCTACATCTTCACATTCCGAAATTATGATTGAATATGTCTTTTATGAATAATGAAACAACTTTAAGTACTTAAAAAACATGATAAGCGAATGTTCACTACACTGCACAACATTTTATCCTTTTCGTGACATGCCCTTTTCTTCCTGACTCCTAATTTATAATTTTTCAAAACTATTAGTTAACTGACTTAGTATTTAGATAAAACTATGAATAATATACATTTAAAAAAAATCATCAGTAACATAACTTCATTAGTTAGGAAGTTCTTTGACAAAAAAATTTTCATTTTTATCTTTTTACTTCAATAATCTTATGTATTAGTTTGCTGTATTAGCAAATTAATTCCTTGTCCTGACATGAGTATGACTAATCAAGTCAGCAAATGTTAACAAAGGTTATTGTTTGAGAGTTAGGAATTTGAACATTATGTCGAAATGCAGAAGATTTCAGAAGAGATTGCAATGGCCTGAATGCCTTTTCTTCTGTAACTTAACAAATTATTTTTTTAAAGATTACATAAAATTACCGGGTATTGAATTGAACATGACAACAAGTGACTAAAAAATAAAAACCAATGCCCACACAATAATCCATAGAATGACTTCACGAATATTTTATGGTGCATATAGGATAGTCAAAGTAAACACTGGTGCAAAAATCGCAGAACAAATACAGTGGGGAATTGAAGTTTAAGAATAGAAGTGGAAAAAAATTCAATGAAATAACTCATAATGAATAAAACTACATCATTGCTGATTACTTGAATATATATTATGTTTATCCTATCTAAAATTACTCAATTTAAAAAATCTACTGTAACTATACAACATTTTTGACACAGGTGTTCTTGCATTTATATTATATACATAGTTCAAACTATAGGAATGTGGAAGAAAAGGGGCATGTCACCAAACTGGAGTTTATGAAACACTGCACTGTAATCAATAGTAATCACTTGAGACCACAACTATGTTAAATATAATATTTTCCAGGATAATGTCGATGAATATATGAACAAGGCAGATAATTCAGGTGGTGTAGATAAAGTACTAAGAAGGTTAGATGAACATCACAGTAAATACAAATTCATGGAATACACACTTGCCACGAAGCGGAGGCGATTGCGGCAGCAGATACCGGATCTGGCCAGGTCTCTTGAGATGATAGAGAAACTTAAAACACAAAGGGAAGAAATGGGAACTCAATTCTTACTTAGTGATCAGGTTTTTGTGAAGGTAATTTGTTATTATTTCAATGGCTCCTAAGTATAAGGGCCAAACTAACAATTTGATCATTTACTTGGACCCATCGAATCTACTCCTTAATAATTACATAATCATGTTAAGCAGCTTAATCATGATATTGTCAACAATTTCTTTTCCATGTATAGAAATTGGGTACATTTATGTACAATACTAATCTTATGATGTTTATATGTAACAAAGTGAAACGAATGATTGAAAACTACATTGGTTTTCTGAGGAATATTGATGTTATGGAGTAAAAAGTTCTGCTGAACGGTTACCATGCTGGTCTGCCGTGCATAGGTTCCAGGTGCGATTCCTGGGTCAGGACAGATTTTTGTATGGCCTACATTTATTTCTCTCGTGAGTTTGGGTTTAATTTGTGTTGTCTATGTGTGTGTTCATGGCATTCGCGATACATATGTCCCTACTGCCCCTGCACTATACGTGGATGTGTTAAAAAAAATTGATTATATGAATTAAATATTTATTGAATTCATATTCAATTATTTTTTGTGAAATTACTCCACTAGTTTCAGTTCTACGAAACAAAGAAGCATGTATGAATCAAAAATACTGGAACATGGTGACAAGGCCAAAGTAAGCATCCCACCAGCAATTAGCAGTTATAATGGAGACATAGTAACGAATCCCAGTGATATAGCAGAGGTGTTTGCAGAGGAATTTTTAAAAGCTTACTCAGAAGAACCCGTCGTACACCAACACACCACAATAGTCTCAGTTGCCCGAGTAGAGAATAGTTTAAATGACATTACATTCACGATAAAAGATGTGCAAGAAACTATGTTAAAATTGAACACACAATCCTCTCCTGGACCTGACAAACTACCAAGTAGCATTTTCAAACACTGTGTAGGTCTTAGCTCCCACTTTGACAGAACTAATGAATAATCTTTCAAAACGGGATATTTGCCTCAAGATTGGAAGCACAATATAGTTACTCCTATTTATAAAAAAGGAGACAAGACTCAGCCTGAAAATTTTCGTCCCATAAGTCTCACCAGTATTGTGGTCAAAATTATGGAAATAATTATTTGTGATTGACTAAATCAGTTTTTGAATCGGGAATGTATAATATCAACCAAACAACATGGATTTGTACGAAAAAGATCAACTGTTACAAACTTGTTAACATGTGTGAATGCATGGAGCAAAGAACTTGATAATAAGAACCTAGTGGATGTAGTGTACCTGGACTTTGAACGCGCTTTTGATAAAGTGCCGCATCAGCGTCACTAATGAAGCTAGATCACTTCGATGTACGTGGGACTCTACTTAAATGGATAGACAATTATCTTAAAAACAGACCATTCCAGGTACGTGTCGGTAACTCCCTGTCGCAACCAAAACGGGTTCTAAGCGGGCTACCGCAGGGTTCAGTACTCGCTCCCCATCTATTTGGAATATATGTAACAGATTTAGTTGAGTTCATAGATTCCAATTGTGCCTTTTTTGCTGATGATGGAAAGTTTTTTGCAAATACACTAATAAACTCTGGACAACTTCAAAAAGATCTAAATCGTATACAAGACTGGACCAAAGATTGGATTATCAAATTGAATGCATCAAAATGTAGCATTTTGCATCTTGGTAACAATAACCCCAAAGTCACACATAACTTGCATGGAAATACCTTAGCCGCAGTCAAAATTCAAAAAAATCTTGGAGTCAATATCGCATTCAATATAAAGTGGGGTGAGCATATCACTACAATAGTCAAGAAAGCTATATGTCATACGCAGGTCGTTCCAAACAATGACAGTAGATGTGTTCCTCAAAATCTATAAGACCAATATACGGCCACTGCTGGAATATGGATATCAAGTGTAAACATAAACCTTCTTGAAAACTTTCAGAGGAAGGCAACTAAAATGCCACAGGCAAATCCTATGAGGAGAGAGACTACACCTTCGAATCGAGGAAGACGCCTTCGTGGTGGCCTCATCGGGACCTCATCGGGACTTATAAAATTCTGATGAGTCAGTACAATCTACCAGCAATACAAAACATCTTTAAACCACCATCAGAAACTAGTTCGTGCACCTTCCAAAACCCCTGCTGCACACAAGTTTTCCAGCACCAGAGTGGTGCACAATTGGAACGTGCTACCAAAAGATGTTGTTTCTGCTGTCTCTGTTAATGCATTCAAAAACAAGCTCGACAACTGGCTACGAAAGAGTGAATCAGTGCTAAAAAAGTGAACTAAAACAACGATATAAATTTCAACACTGTGTGATGTAGACCAGCGAAAGCTGCTCGTCTATAATCAAATAAATAAATAATTTGTTATAATTATTCATACAAATATCGAACACTTAGAAAAAATTCCTTCGATCCGGCTGGATTCAAACTGACGTCTCCTAGCAAACCATGCCAGACGGGCTTAGTTGGCATAGCGTCTGGCACAGACACATCACACTTAAAGGACACTTCTTCCGCCTAATTCACGTGTTGGTACGTTATTATATTAGCGAACCTGCTCGAGTCTTCGTTTCGATGCCAAGTGGAGCAGCCAATGTGTGTCGCTTTGAAGTTAATAAGAAATAATAAAATAATGGCAAGTTATGTAACAGGTTCTAATTTGAAATGTTACAGTAACATTAAAGTTGGTATCAAAATGCCCCTTTCAAATAAAACATTTGTTCTAGGCTAATGTTCCCCCTACGAAGAATGTGTGCTTATGGTTGGGAGCCAACGTGATGTTGGAATATTCCCTAGAAGATGCAGAAAAGTTACTCACTTCTAATATGGCTGCTGCCAAGAAGAATCTTGCTTGTGTGGAACATGATTTGGATTTCTTAAGGTATCTAATCTGTTTGTTAGTAACGTTTCTTACTCCGCCATTTCAGTACTTGATTTAGAACAAAAAATACTAGTTATATCACTAATCGTAGCTATGTTACATTAAAAAATAGGGTTTTAGCCCTATTTGGATTAAATTAAATATATTACCGAGACTTGTGAAATTGCCAATGTATAACAACAAAATTACAACTTATATGGTGATTATTATGTTTATTACAATAAGTACCTAACTAAAATTTGATTAATTCTCATCTTTTATTATTGCTGACTTATTTATTAATTCATTTTGAGTTCTTAGGTTTTTGCGCTACGAGTTTTTTTACACATAGGAAATGAAACTATTTTTTTGGATCTAAATTGCGTATATTTGATTTTTTAAATGAAACAATGTTCGGACCATTTTTAAAATAAAATAATGAAGGGGTAAAGGTAGTATCGTAAACTGTCGCTATATCGCACCCCTCATGGAAGAATGGCATAAGTGAAGTTACGTCAAAAATATTTATTGCTCCATTAGATACAGAAAAATATAACCCTCATGCGGAGAGCATGTTCCAGTTCTTGTAACTCTATCGACTATTATGCCATTCTACCATGAGTAAGTGAGTTGGTTTGCATTAATATTAGACATATTATTATTATTATTATGTTTATTTTAAACTCTCGCCTCTCCCAAGGCCTAAAAGACTAATTTTGAATTTTTAAATGGGAGAGGCGGTATTTCCCGGCAATGGCACAGTCGGCCGGGGTCAGGGACTCAGGTCCAAGAATCGGCGAACAATACGTTATTATTATTATTATTATTATTATTATTATTATTATTATTATTATTAGGGTGGCTTCATTTGGGAAATATGAGCCTCTCATCACTGCGACCATTAAATTATCTATTGTGATCACTACTAATTACAGTTCGGAACCAAGACCAACAGCATTAAGAAACTGAAGGACTTTCCTGGCTCCGACAGTTTTTATGTCCGCTGGGTGTGGCCTGTGTCTACCCAGTATGAAACTTCCTACGCCCATTAGAGGGCAGCACTGGGTGAGGAGATGCACAGGAGTTTCATCCGCCTCATGGCAGAATCTACATTTTCTGTTTTCTCTCTGTCCAATATTTGACATGTGCTTGTTCAAGCCACAATGTCCTGTTACGGCTCTAGTCAGTATTCTGATGCCGTTCCTGTCCAGTGACAGAGCTTGTCTACAGTGTTTGGCACTGAAGGCAGCTATCAGGGCTTTTGAATGCTCAATACCCTTAGTCTGCACCCACACGTCCCAGGAGACGTGTGTGCTATCCCTAAAAAGGGCACAGGACCAATAAAAGCCTCCCTAGCACCAGCCTTTGCCAGTTCATCCGCTGCTTCATTACCCTCGATGTCAGAGTGACCTGATACCCAACGCAGGATCACATTATTCCTTTCCCCGAGAGTATTTAGTATAGTTACGCAGTTCTCTACAATCCTCGAAGTTTGGGTGACTGAGGTTAGTGCATGCAGAGCGGCTTGACTATCTGAGTTTATATAAATATTATTTTTGTGAAACGTAGCCTCTCTTCAGATTCAGATTACCGCACAAATTATTATGGCGTATATTTCGGCCTGAAAGATAGAGGAGTGTTGTCCCATGTTCAGCTTGTAGCTGAGTCTGGGTCTCACGCCGTGTATACCACAACCTACGTTGGGTCCCATCTTGGTCCCATCGGTGTACCAAAGAAGGCTACCATCTTTCCAGGTGAGACTGTTAGTTTCTCAGTCTTCCCTGGTTGGAAATTCTACCTGGTAGAGTTTCTAAGTTTTATGATTATCACTAATATCAGGTTTCTTACCACGGTATGACTTCTTTTTATTTTCCCGATATTTCGGAACGGTTGCACGCTCCATGGTCACGGGTTGACTGGACGGCGTCAGATGACAGCTTTAAGACCAGACATATCTGTCTACCCTCTTGCGCTGTCGACGAGTACCTTCATCGCGATTTGTTGTGACGTTACAACCAAAGGTTAAAACCAAATACAAAAATCCGACAGACAAGCACATAGAGAAATTCGCGAGGTCCGCTGGATCGTTCCATGGCGTAGTTGGCATAGCGTATGGCACGGTTTACTAGAAGACGTCGGTGGGAATCCGGCCGGATCAAAGGATTTTTTTTCTTCGATCCAGCTTGATTAATTCGAGTGATATTTTAAAATTTTATCACACTAACGAAAATGGCGAGCTCCGTGACGCCACATTTTTATGTATAGCTGCAACGTCACAGCTGATTTTAAAACATTTGCACAGTAATTTTATCAACGTAAAAATTGAACGCGACAAACAAGATGAAAAGACATTTTTTGTTTCATGATTTTCGCGGCGATGATTAAACGACGAAGATAACTATATACGCAATTTCATATCGTTGTCCTTATTACTCAAAATGTATAACAATAGTTCATCCCCAAACAAGCAAATTTAGCTTTGTAATTTTTTGTTTCATCGTTTTCGCGGCGATAAACGACAGAGAAGAATACGGCAAATTCTGCAGCGGTCACAAGAAGAAACATAACGAGGTAGCATAACTGTCACTGTAATCTTATGGTAGAGGCACTGTTTAAAGGTTTTTGCTATTTCTTGTATTTATAGGATAACTGGCACACTTAAACATCTATACTACCTCAAATGGTTGAATCAGCATAACAGTGAAAGTATGAAATCAATCACTTTGGAAAAAATATATAGTAAAATTGAGAATATGCACTGATTACTATATGGTGTGAAAATACGATTCCTTAAAATTTTACCCCCTCGGTCGCCCAGTGGAGTTACCGGCGTTAATTGTGCCAATTTAGCATAACTGTTCAGTTATGCTGAATTGGCGTAATTAACACTTTTTAGAAAAACAATTTAAGTGCCATTAACTCGAAAGTTTCTGACAAGGGCAGTATCCGAACAGTTTTGCACTTTCTATAGATTTATTGTGATCACTGCTTACCCTTTTCAAGCGTGTTGAATTTCCAGGTGTGTCTAAAACTGCTCCTTTTGTGACATGAATTGTTATGACTGAAAGTGAATATTTTTTAGCACATTAGACACGGACTCTAACCTTCCCATTATATTGTCGTAACGTTGTATTTATCGTTGGACGACAGTCGCTCCTACCTGTTCCCACTGGATCGTGACGATAATTCATTTACGGCAGCTGCAATGGTGTTTACACGACAGAATCGTTTGATGCACAGCAGTCCAATCGCATCTATGTTCTTTTGGAAGTCCGTAGTGTGTGTTCGCTCCCGTGTGAAATGGAAATGGATGAAGAGAACATTTTAATAATGAATTGAAAATAAATTTTAATTTAAGAATGATTTTACAAAGGCAGAATACGTGCTGACAACGACAAATAAAACGTGACCACAATAGTAGCTGCGATTGTCCGTCGTCACATTTTAATCGTGATAGTTACACTTTATAGGCACCCGGAACTCAAGTGAACTGCAGTTGTGGGAGCTCGTATATCGGTCAGACTAAACGAACAATTGTCGATCGTATGAAGGAACACACCCGAGAGTAAAAAACAATGATGCACAGAAGTCGGCTATAGCACAACATCTCACACAGACTGACACTAACCACTGGATCGAGTTGCATAGCCCCCAGGCACTCGACAGAACGTCACTACATACAACGGTTGGTACGAGAAGCCATCGAGATCACGAAGTACAAAACATTTAACCGTGATGATGGTTTTACACTGCCCAGTGCCAGAGGGTAGACAGATATGTCCCCTCTTAAAGCTGTCATCTGTCGCCGTCCAGTCAACCCGTGACCATGGAACGTGCAACCGTTCCGAAATATCGGAAAAATAAAAAGAAGTCATACCATGGTAAGAAACCTGATATCACTAATATCAGGTTACTAATAATCACTAATAATCATTTAGTGAATAACCACGAAAGTCTTAAAATCTATATTTCTAAGTTTTGCTTGGGAAGCATCATATCAAAAGTCATTCCCAGAACAGGATGTTCCAGAATTGAGTCCTGGGCCGATCTGAATGTCTGGGAGAGCCGTCTAGTCCTTAACCTGATGGAGAGCCTATACATGCTGTTACCGGCCTCCTTCTGTATGAATACATGCATGGGAGTCAGATTCACCAATGCATTTAGGGCCGCCTCAGGTGTAGTGGACATGACTCCCGTTGCTAGCAGGCACGCGACACGCTGTACTGCTCAATGTGGCAATAGTGGTTATTTGACTGACTTTGCCACTCCAAACAATGGAGGCATGTATTAATATGGGCCTCAGAATTGCCTTGTTTAATCAGAGAGTCATCTTTGGTTTTAGACTCCAATGCTGTCCTGCCATACGACTACAGATACCTAAGGCCATCTTGGCCTTGTTGATCTTAAACGTAACCTGTTTAAAACCCAGGTGTGCCCGGCAATTAATACGAGGAATAAAAATAAACTAGCTTTTCTTGAAAATCGTCTTCAGAGTCAAAAAATCATTTAAGGGGCAATGTATACCATTCTATAACAAGATTCCGGTTGGTATACAAAATTTGCCTTTCACGAGCCATAAAACTATAGTGAAACAAAACCTTTATACTAAAGGTTATTATACAACTTCTGCGTACTTAGATGACAAAAATCCGTGGTAGTAACCCGTTTAGCTCATGGAGGTAGTCTCGATCTCTGATGTTTCAAATAAAAAAAAATTATTGTAAATGTTATTTACAAAGAGCAACCCTAGAGTTTCTTGCTCATTCTTCTCAGGGGAATCTGCCTTACGAATGAGCGGTAGAGTTTAACCATTGCGACGATTTCAAGTGTAATAATGCTTACCTATGAAATAAAGATTATTTTGAATTTGAATTTGAATTTGCATACATAGGCACGGTACGCCTAACACCGTTGGATTGGGTGACGACATTTTAGCCAACGCCTAGCAAATGCTCGGATAAAGTCCAGGCATTTACTAGGAGTTGCCCAGGATGCACCGGCTCTTGTCTTCCCTTCCTATAAAACCCTGGGATTACATAGGAATGGAAGCCACTCACTCACGTGAGAGGTACGTCGTCCTAGCACCTAGCACACCAATATTAGGCATAACTGGTTAATTTTTTTTATTTATTTATTTATATCAGGTAACAAAAAGACCCATGTATACATACCTTATAGACTAACATACATAACAAATATAAAAACAAAATACACCTATATTATATATACCTTTAAACTAACATACATACAATATAACATAAAAAAACTAATCTACACGATTTCACTTATCGGCGACGTGCGGCGCAATCTGGTGTCAGGTAACCGGCCGCGGAATCGCCGATATATGACACCCTTCGGCCAAAATTCCTCTTTCATGAAGGTCGAAAGATGTTCGGTCGGTATTCTCACCACAAACGAATTAAAGTTCACGTTGCGGCGAGACTCCAACCGCTCGACCCTCAGGGTGTAATTGGCTTTATGCCTGATATACTCCACTATCTCCTCAGACTTCGTGGAGTAATGCAGCCGCGACAGGTACATCAGCGTCGTCGGTATGGCCGGACGCAGCAGGAAGTTCGGTCCTGTCGGTGCTGTGCCACACTGGTTACGGCTGGTGGGCTTCCTCTTCCTCTTCACCACCTTTGTGAAGCCATCCTCGTCGCACTGGACCGTCTGCCTCTTTGGTTTTGCAACTTCAGAGACAGGCACACGGAGATTGGTTTTATCCTTAGCCGATTGCCGCCGCTCGAATTTCGAAGTGGCGGGTCGGCTAGTTGAAGCGGCTACAGCGGCGTATGCACGTGTCGCGGTTGACGTGCACACGCGTGACATTTCCATCGAGGCAGAGGGGCGGGCAGCGGGGCGCGGCGCATCATGCGCGGTGGCAGCAACGAATGGTGACGCATTATGTGCCGACTCGAAACTGCTGACCGAAGCATTCAGCGCTGCTCCGCGTCGTGTGTTTACGTTAGAGGCTTCTGGTGACCTACATACCGAAACAGCATTGCTTAATAACGCAACTTGGGTGCGCAGCTCACTTATGATATTATCTGAAGCCTCTAATTTATACTGTACTTCAGCTAGGCTAGACTTCAGGGACGTAATGTCCTTCAGCAGCCTAGTAACATCGACGTGGTCGAACGTGACGGGGGGCAGCTTGTGCAGCTCCTTCGCCACGAATGTAGGCACGTCGTCCGGGTCAGTCTCCTTCAGCAGCGTGATTATATCTTGGAGACTCTTCACGCCTCCATCCCTCCGGCGAGATGGCTTCTCTTCGGCTTTACCGAGACGCTGGAAAAGCAGCATCTTGCCACTGCAAATCTCATCCTCACTGAAATTTGATTTGCATATCTGCACTATGCTGACTTCATCCATGGTGTCGATAGCGTGATTAATGAACGCCAGGAGCTCATTGGCAATGAGTTGCTGGGAACTCATTGTCAATTACGCGCAGCGGCTTGTGCCGTGCGAAACGCGAGTTAGGTGTAATTAACTTACTGCGTAGTGGCACGTCCGTTTCCGAACGCGCCTTGCTATGGACTGTAATGACTTTACCATCTTATTAGCATTGACCATGGGCCCTATAAAGGGCCCGAAACATTAATTTGTTTGAAACAACAAATATACGTGCCTTACATCCGAAAAAATAATTTGATTTTCTATATTAATTAATTTATTTATTACAGAGACCAATGGACCACAATAGAAGTGAACATGGCACGAGTATACAACTGGGATGTGAAGCGTCGTCAAGCAGCTAAAGCCTCGAGCTAATCCGTGTTCTGTCCAACGCGTAATATTTCACACCCGTTCAAAGCATTTTAACTTATAAGAACTGTTCATTATTAATGGGTCTCCATTATCATCCTTTGTATTCAGGAAGATTTACTTGTAAAACTATTTCTAACCAAATTTCAGGCGCTGTATTACACCTTAATAGCAGGGTTTATTGGACCACTTAAAAAATGTATAGTGGAATTGTGATCTTCACTTTTATAAGTACTCACTTGAAAATTTTTGTTTTGTTAGCTTTTTTGTATACATAATATGTGAATTACTTCTGACAACATTCTTAGTACCAATTTATTTTGTTACGTATTTGATATTTTATTATGTTTCAAAATAATAGTAGTAAAATACGAACTTCTAAATACATGTCATCTTACGAATGTGAAACAGTGATTAAAGGCATTATTTTAAGCTTTCTAAATTGATTTTGTGCAATCTTATTATTAACAATATTTGCATATTTTTGTTGCATAAAAGTCTTATCTTCACATTGGTGATTATAGATATGATTGAGTGATATGATGTCGTGAAAATGTGTTTATGTAAAAATTGTAATCTGAAAAGTTTAATAAATGCTTGCTTTTTGCTTTTGCCTTTCAGTTCAGTTTCAGTACCTGCACGAGCTGTTTGTCTCGTACTGTAATATGTCAGGGTGATATCAGTGAGATGATGCAAGGAGAAGTCAAAGATGTAGAAATAATACTCGATCGATACCATGGACTAAATTTATTGTACTGAAAAATTACAATTTATAAATTTTGCACGTGCCCAAAGTAGTGCGCGTCGTTGCACATTTTCCGCTGCATAATAATCATATAATAATGTACGTTAACCCGTATTATCTATGACCATAGATCACAACTTATGAGAAAACGAGAGTATGGTCTAGGAAAAACAGTTACACATTTAAACTGGTAAACTTTAACCAGCCATTGTAAAGATGATGGGCTAAGCAGGAAAATGAAGACTCAGATATTGAAACTGTAAAGGCGAATATATTCAATCTTTCACCGAAAAAATAAACTTAAAAATTAAAATCACCCTCAGAAAACGCCTGATGAGTTGTGCGAGCAATTACTTGCAATGCAATATTCAACGTTATTATTGAACAAGGCATTCTTCAGATTGATTTTCTAAATCTAAACATGCCCCCGGGCGTGAAAGGCAATCTTTCAACCAGAATCTTCATTTAATGGCAGTGGCATATTTTACTGAATGCACGCCAGATGGTTCCATTTGTAGTTTTGATTTCTGCCACACGACGAATTCCATCACGTCCTGGGTAAACAGCTGAGATTCGTCCTAATTGGCATTTCAGGCGATAGATTGTCTTCTTTTATTATAACAAGGCGATCCGTTTCTAAAACAACATTTGAAGACTTCCATTTAATCCGCTGCTGTAGTTCAGAGATGCACTCTTTATTCCACCTCGACCAGAAGTGTTCACGTAACGTCCCTATTCGTTTATATCGCTTCAAGTGAGTGACAGAAGCAGTTTCATAAGACGGCACAGGCAAAGATGTGAATGGACGTCCTATCGGGAAATGTCCAGATGTCAGCGGCAGAAGGTCATTAGGATCAGACGACAATGGCGTGAGAGGGCGCGAGTTAAGAAGAGCTTCAATTTGAACCAGTGATGTACATAGTTCCTCATATGTTAAATGACAATTTCCCATTACTATCTTTAAATGATATTTCACTGATTTGATACCTGCCTCCCAAAGACCACCAAAATGTGGAGCATAAGGAGGAATAAAAATGAAGTTCATTCCTTCAGCGGCAATGTCACCAGATAACGAACAGTTATTTGCCTTCAAAAATTTACCAAGTTCATTGTAAGCGCCGACAAATGAAGTTCCGTTGTCAGAATATATACGCGTAGGTTTACCTCTACGAGACACAAAACGACGAAGTGCTGACAAATAGTTTTGACTGGTTAAATCACCTACCAACTGAATGTGGACTGCTTTC